TATCATATGAGAATATTCTTCAAAACAAATTACTCTATTACCAAGATATACCACTTAAATAAGTGTGTACTAAAGCTATAAGCTACTAGAATTGATAACTAAACAAACTTAACTTCAAGCTAGCGGTAATAGCTGAGAAGTGGGTACTCATCATAACTTAGTAGTGAGATATGAGAAAAATATATAATAATACTTGAGAAGTGAGTGCTCACTCTGTCGTGATTGTATCCAAAGCTTAAATAATAAGATAATTATTTGCTTAAATGATTGAGTTATGTGATGTGTGACACATGAAAGGTTATGACATGTTAATATGACTGACTTAACATGAAGCTAACACATGAATAACTCAATTCGTAAATATAAGAGATGTAGAAGCAAATATTAATTAAAGGCCATTGTAATTAATATCTCTAACATTAATTCACAGTAACGTCAGTGACATATTATAAGAACAAGTTAGAGATAAAGTGAATATATATGCACTAGAGACTGTTAGACATGCTTATTGAGAAGCGAATATAAAACCTTGGAAAGTTAGATGAGGTGAAATATTTAATATATGGTATTTCAAGAGTTGGAAAACCATAAGAAATATATCCCAAAGTTGTGGGGGGATATTGTCCATAGATGAAATTTGCAATGAGTTACCTCACCAGATAAGAAATACTTATAAATGTAGGGTTCTTAATCCTAAGAGATTTTGGATAGAACCAAAAATCATTTATAGTATTATAAGAATAGTGCATGTTGTTTCTTATGAGAAAATATTATGGAACAACTAGAAAAGTTCTTTTTCCAGCGGAAGAGCTGAGTTATTTGTTCTAGTTGAAGAGTAAAGTGTGCAAGCTTATAAGTTCTTGAGTGAATTAAAGCTGTTACCAAGACAATAACATAAATGTGATGTATAAGTCATTGTATGCCTTAAAAAAATTAATGATATACTAATTAGTATATTTGATATGAAAAATTTAACATCTGATAACATAGTATATTCTCAATAGAGTGAGATTGAGATAATACTAGTTATGATAACAAAAGCCTAGCTAACTTTTGTAGATGTAAATCTTAAATATAAATACTAGTCAAAGTATATCATTGGTTGAGATTGTAAGGCAACTTAATAACTGTGTGTAATTACACATTTTCAATCCAGGATCGGAACACTGAAAAACAATAAATTGGGTAGTTGAGATAAACCCTAAATCCAATATTACATAGATCGAGGTATCTAACTAAATTGGAGGTGTAACAGTGATGCAATCTGGATATGGGATATTAAAGACTTCAAATCCAAGAGTGGATATGTCTTTTATATTAAAGGTGTAGTTGTATGTTCTTAATATAACTCAAAGTTAGAAACTTTAAATAAATCGAATAGGAAAGTCAATAGACTTCACCTACAGGACATTTCAAAGTAAGTCTACACCTGTGCCACTAAAGAAAATAATTTTAGGGCACAAAGTATACAATTGCTCTCACCTGGAGAAATCTCTGCAGAGTGTAATATTTCTAAACATAACCTTGTTGCCACATATAAGATTGAGGGTTATACTAGAGAGCAATTGTACAGATCATCGAGGGGAATGTGATTAAAATTCAAAAGCTAATGAGTCACCTTAATAGAAACCCAACCTAGTTGACTGGAGATCCCAAGATCTAGGTTCAAAGGGACAACAGAAATTCTGAGTGACTCACCAGAAGCACTGGGAAGATATAAATCTTTTGCCCATTTCTATGATGAGACAGTGCTACCTATAGCGAGGATTAGGATAAGCTACGCTTTTAATGACTCTTATACCTTAAAAATTCAAGTGGAGTATGGTAGGATACTCTTAATAAGAAGTCACCTATATGAGTGTAAAGTGGGCCGCTTCTATGAGAACTATAAAGGCTAAGTTTTCTGGAGCACTCATTGAATACAAGGAGTTGTTTAGGGCCAAAATGAACACAACAATGAGAACTAACTTTGTGAGGAAAGGTACTGTGTGTTTGTTATTGTCTTGGTTTACACAAACGGCTAAACAGTTCAAGACATCGCGTTCACTGGTTAGCCAGTAAATCCGATAGCAATACACCAGGGAAGGTTCAAAGCCAAAAGCTACCTATCCTGATGCAGTAACTTTCCGACTATACTCTCTCTAGTGTCTGCATGATCATCTTTTGCATTTTACGCAAATTTCCATTCATGTGGGGGATTGTTGGAAACGGGGGCATTAAAAACATAAACTTTGGATGAGGTTTGAAATAGTTTCCGCTAATAATTTTTTACAGATCTCTAGATGAATGAGTTTCTCTTCGCAAGGAGATGAACGTCGTATATTTACTTTCTCAAATCCGTTTCCGGGTGAATGAGAAATTAGCTCCAAAGTGTGGTGTTTTGATAAGTCTAAATGGGTATGCAAAATGTAGGAAGTGTTTGTCTCATATGGAAAAAATGTTGAAACTAATTGAAATTTAAATAAGCTAAATTTGGGCTTGGGCTTGGGCTTGGGCTTGAGCCTAATAGGAAAGTCCAATTATTCTTTTTACTAAATGGAATCTTGGATTAGGCCTTTAATTTTGGGTTGGACTTATTTAAATGGGTGATTAGTTTTTGAATTTAAATTAAAAGTTAGTTTTTTTTTTTTTTTCCAAAAGGTTGCATCTATTTCTAAAGGGTTGCATCTGTTTTTCAAAGAGTTGCATCTATTTCTAAAGGGTTGCAACTCTAAACCAACAGACATAACTATTCATGTGAACCATTGCAACCTATTGAAGTGGATGTATCTATTGGTGAACAGACACCATGTGAATCATTGCAATCAATTAGAGTGGATGTGTCTATTGGTGAACAGACACCATGTGAACCATTGCAATCAATTAGAGTGGATATGTTTATTGGTGAACAGACACCATGTGAACCATTGCAACCAATTGGAGTGGATGTGTCCAGTGTGAAGAAACACGTATAAATGGTTGTGTCCAATGATGACGAGACACACCCAATCCGAAAAGGCACATTAATTAAAAACTACTTTTTAGTTTTTGAAAAGGGTTGCACCCAATCCGAAAAGGCACCTTGTTGCCTATAAATACCCCCCTTTGGATCATTTGTAAATAATGCATTTTCATTTTCTTCTATCTCCCTCTCTAGACTTGAACCCAACCTAAATGGGTTCAAACCATAGGTTAAGTGGTTCAAACCACTCAGACCCTAATCTAATTTCATTGAGCCATATTAAGATTGGTTCGAACTATTTGGTTCGGATTGCACTCAATTCAGCATTTATATAGTATGGATGCATTTTTGAGTCAAAGAAAGTATTACATGGAGAAGGTTCGCCGTATCCACGAGTTTCTAGTGCTGCTACTGGTGGATGTAGACCGTTGTATTATGGGAGATAGACGCCACTGAGTCCGTAAGCACCATAGCAGGGCTAATCTATCTTAAGGACATAATATCCAATACTAGCCTCGGTCCAGGTTCTTTATTTATTATTATTATTTATTACTTTATTTTGCATATTTAATTAAATATAGAGTTGCATGTTTAATTAATGATTTCTTAGCATATTGTTAATTATCTCATGACATATTAGTATAAGGTTTGTTATATCTTAAATGTTCCATGAAGCATATATATTTACCAACAACAACTTATAAAACGCAATAGCTATATTTTTATAAACATATTTCATGATATAATGCATTGCATTCACAAAATCGTTGGTAAAAGGATAAAATATTGGGTGAACTGGACAATCAACACGCTCCATGAAAAAAAATAAAAAATAGTCCATCAGTGAAATAACTTTCACTTAATGAAAGAAGTTGATTGAGTTGGCAAACCTGACTCACCCAATATTTACTTTGATAGAAAATGATTCAGATTCATTCCTTTAGATGATTTTCATGTGAGATGTGATTCTTACACATAGCGTTGATTCCATTCTCACTAACTATCTTCAACCTCATAGAAGAGAATCCATGTCGATTCATTCACATATAGGAAGCACGGACACTCTTACGAGAGCGACGCACTGGTATCAAATATGTGTCAGATACCGATAATCCTCGAACACTCGCAGATATGTGTCTAATACATCTTAATCGTATCTATAATTTTAAATTATATTTATTTTGTAACACGTATCCCATATTTTTCATATATTTCGACTGCATATCCATTGCTTCTCAGATACTTCATAACACATTTTTAACAAGTTTTGAACATTTAAATGTAACTTTTTCAACAATAATATCATAGTATAAATGTTGAACAAATTTCAAAATTTATTAATCGATGACTAAGTACGCTTGTTTTATGTATTGTGAAGCTAATATATATTATATTAATAATTGTACTTAGATTCATAATATTAGAAGAAATTGATAAAAAAGAATTTTATATATTTTTTATATATAAAAATTATTATATTCCGTCGTTGTACTCGTATCTTATTTTTTTTGAAATTTGTCGTATCTTTGTATCCACATCGTAACTACACCCATATTCGCGTTTCCTAGGCTCACATCGAAAGCAACACCAAATGCTGTCGGTGTCTCCATTACTTTTTTTTTTTTTTTAGGAAACCAGAGAGATGTACCAGCATTATCTAGGACTAGGACTCTAGTTTCAACCAATAAAACATGTGATTTTTTTTTCTTTTTTACAAAATATAATATTTTTTATTAAAAAAATTGATAATTTAAATCCAGCAAAAAATAGGCGGTGTGTGAATTTATTCTCACGAAAAAAAAAAAAAAAAAAAAAAATTCGGGCACAAGGAATACCTCAAAAAGATATATAATCATAATTTTTGTTGATTTTATTTCAATAATCATAAAATCGTTAATTTGGAGTTTAAAATAAATGGTGGTTGTTTCTGTCTTCTAAAATTTATATAATTATTTTTAATTAATCTGTAAATCTATTTTAAATTTAATTAATTATAATCAATACAATAGTAAAATTACTTCACTAAATATTGCAAAATGAAATATTGAAATTTCAGTAAATTTTTCCCCGTTGGACACTGGCCTATCCGTGTGTTTGAAGGGCAGAGGGGAAAAATGGCGCTCTCTACCACATCAAGAACCCTTATAAAAACTATAAAACCCTAACACTGGTTCATTCAAATTCAAATCCCGATAACATGGCCTCATTTAGACTTCTAATTGGTCAGTCGCTTCGATTCAATCCCACCGGAAGATCTGGCCTCCTCTCTCTCCTCTCATATTGCAGACTACAGGTTCTCCTCATTCTCTTTCTAACTTCTCTCTCTTTTTTATGCATTCGTTTATGGTGTGTTGTCTTTTATTTATTTATTTTTGATTTATGAGTACTTATATTTTTCATTTCTTGCATATTACGAGAAATATCTGCTTAGTGTATTGTTAAGAGACCTGCTTGTTTTGTTTTTTGTTTTTCCTCAGAATGGAATGCACACCCGGTATATTTCCTCCACAGGTAATAAAAACTTGTGTCTATCTTTCCCTCACACACAAAGGAATGAACTGCTTAAATACGGACATCATAGCTCTATTATTTTTGTGGTTTTGCTTTATTTTTGTTACAAGAATTCTGATGGACTTTCACTCTCTTTCTCTTTTCCCTCATTATACTTTTATTCTTTGAAATTTTTACTAGATTAATTGTTTTATCATACCCAATTGAAACTACTTTTTCCATGAGATTTTTAGTGTATAAATATAAATATTTGGATTTTGATTAGGTTTTTTTTTTTTGGTTTCATTTCTCTCTTGAGAGGGGGAACTTCAAACTGGTGTATGGTCAGTGTGAGTGTGTTCGCATGCTTTCGCGGCATCCTTTTGATTTTATTTTGCAGTTGAGAACCTTGTAACAAAATTGTGTCAGTCATCAGTGTAGTTTGCTACTTCCCTCCCCTTTGAATTCATATAATATACATGTGTCACCTCTTGTTATGTATAGGTTTCAATAATTCAGTCAAGTATCTTAAGGGTCTTACTTATTTTTTTATTTTTTTTTTTTGTGAATTAGTCAAGTATTCTAAGCTTCGGATCCCAAAATTATTAATACTATCACATTGCAAGGTTCGCGTTGCCTTTAGCATAGCCTTGGTAGCTGGGTTGGTGGTAGTGCAGTATGAGATTTTAGAAGGTTTGATCAATTGTGGATTTTTGGACAAAAATGATTTCTGTTGTCACGTTTCAGCTAGTGCAGTGTTCAAAGCTAAATATTTCTTTGATATTAGATAAGCATGCTCCATTTAGTGACTAGTTCATTTTCTTTCACTTGTGTTATTTTTTTTTCTCTTTCTTTTCTCTGCGAAGGATATCTCATGCTTCTTGATTTGTATTTTTCCATTCCTGTTTTGGAATAAGAAATTTAATTTTAAACTTTTAATTAACCTTCACAATTGGTTGTTATCTAGAGTTCATTATGTCAGTTGGGTGCATTGAAGCCTGGGGTTTCTGTAGGATTTGGAGATATGAGGAGAACAATCTAAATAGTTTTATTTAGTTGGTATAACTAATGATATGCTCTTCACAAAACTGGCTTACCATTAAATATGTTTGTTTCAACTCAACAAATTTAGGATCATCCTGAATGCAATCCTGTTAACTTAGTAACGCACTATTGGAAGTTTCCTAGTTGGACTGGGTTCCTGATTGGTCTTTTGTGAGTAATTTGGTCTAATTGGTAAATTTAATTGCTTTCTTGTTTTCAGTTGAGGTTCCAGAATTTGAACAGTATGAACCCCATGATGATGTCAAAGCAACAGAAAAAGATGCTGCACTGCGTTCGGCCCTTGTGCAGCTTCGTGGTGATTTTTGTGAAGAGTCTATGTTGTCTTTGCAACGATTCTTTGGCTCAAGACGTGCACCTGTAATATCTACAGGCTCTTTGAGGCTTGATCTAGCCCTTGGGATTGGAGGATTACCAAAGGTGAATTTTCAAACTAGTATCATTGGCTCAGTGGTTCAGTGCCACGCATTTGGTGCAAACATGCATATACTACTTGTACATGGAATCAATCATAAATGCATAATGTACACCACACTAGCAGGATCCAAGTCACATAGTGTCCTGCCCCTTGGAGCAAAGTTGCCCCCTCTTCTTCTAGGTTACACGCCATCATCATAGACACATATCTATTGCTGACTGTTTTTGTGCCTATATAAGGCCTGTAAATAGATCAGATTCGAATCTGATCAAGGGTTATCCTAATTATATTGATTCGTAGTTTATGCTTCAATCCAATCTGATAATCTTAAGGATCACTAAATTGCCCATTTGAATTGAAATATGTTTTTAATCAGATCTTCAATCAAATAATTTGAGTTGATCTAATATTTTTGGAGACAGCCAAGCAAAATCCTTTTTAAAATGGCAATAGCTACAAGATTTATACTTTCATAATTCAAAACCATAAACAATAATAGTGTCAGAGACTGCCTATGAAGCATGCTCCTGTGATTCCTGCTTGCTGCATGCAAACTTGAATATGGTGAATGGTGGCATTTTGTAAACAATGGCAATCTTTATTAGTAAATTTTTTCAAATCATATATTTTAAATATGGTGATGTTTCCTCTTACCACATGAATAATTATCGTTTGTATGTAGTGGAGAGGTCAGTTGGGTTAGTGACTTTGTTGTTTACATTTGACGTCCGCACTCTTAATTCTATTCTGGGCTTTGTGCCAATGGCCCTTTGCCATCGTTTTATGTTTATTAGCTATTAATTAAAGGATCATGATCCCTACTTCGTATACTTGTTGAGAAGTATACGATCGTAACCCTGGGCTTTGATGTGAGAGTTAGCGCAAGGCCCAATCTAGATCTGAGGGAGAGTGTATAGGTCTAATCAATTAACAGATTTTAACTGAATTTCAAATTTCAATTATCACAACTATCAATCAATAAACTTGTAAAAATAATTAAAGTGCAGAAATATACAGCATAAATACACACACACATGAATACCAATTTTTATGTGAAATTTCCCAATGAGGAAAAACCACAAGACTTAGTCAGGAAGATCGATCCACTATGAGAAAGAAGCTTACAATTAGGTTACCGGTTTCCCAGGCCCTAAAAAGGTCCTAGTTACCTCTTGAAAAAACCGACGCCAAACTCTCCACTTATGTCTCCATGCCGTTTGCCCACTTCGTCAACAAATCCGCCCTTCACGCTATCCACTTCTCCACAAGTACATTGATTTTTTGTTGGTGGAACTTGGGCGGTGTTGAAAGACTTGAAGCTAATTGCATGTTTCAACACTCATGAACATTACCATCTATATGCGTGGATGATGAATGAAATAAACGGTCTAGCAATTGGATTACCAAGATGCATTCTATGCCTCACAAAAATATGACCCTCAATGTATGCTTTCTATGGTTGTTGTAGGCTTGCGTTTGAAAGTCTATGGTCTTGTTTATAGACCTGGGAAGCTGGAAAGTTCAGGTTTAAAAGAGTTTAAATAACATTTTGAAATTGCCTTTACACACCTCTCAATTGAACCAAATGTTGATCTATCGACGCTGGGCCCTGTGAGTCTCGATTGCTTTGATCTTCTCTCTAGAAGTTATGTTTCTCAATCCGTAATTCTTTTGCTTTCTTTAGCTGGTTGTACATTGCGTGTGCTTTTTGCTTGGCCGCTTTCTAACTTATAAAAATTACCATTTTTTTTTTTTTTAATAAAAACACAGAAGATTACCCTTAGCAAAAATTCATGCCATTCAAAAGCCAACCTTAGAGCTTTAAGTAGGCTGCAATCCCCTTTTTTTTTTTTTTTTTTTTCTTTCCTCTTCCCAGTTGCATCCACCACCTGAAAGACAACAAAGTCAAGGGTCATAAGACTTGCCTATCCCTCGTGGTTGTGCCCTGTCCATTCGGCCATGAGTATGAATGCACTACTAATGTTGTAGATGACTAGAGTAGAATAGATAATTTCCATGTGTGATAAAGCTCATCGAGCAATAATTTTCCTTGTCCACTCCATTGGAATGCCGTACTGTCAATAAAGGTTCCATGTTTGCTTTAAAATACCAAGTGTTGGAGACAATTCTATTCTTAAGGAAACTTTCATGATCATTTGAATCGTTCTATGTCATGTCAGATTGTGAATTGAAATCGAAAAATTTCATAATTACATGCTCATCATGAGTCATGACTTGACTTTTTGAAAATAAAAGTTGAGTGCTGCACATAATATTTAACATGAGCTTTGAGGAATCAAAAAAAAAAAAAAAAAAAAAAAAAAAAAAAATATATATATATATATATATATATATATATATATATATATATAATAGTTGTTTTTTTTGTGAATGTCACGTTGATACGATGCTCTCTTTTATTTTTTGTTTGTGTGTAATTTCTTTCTAAATATTTGTACACTCACATATAAATTTTAGATGCAAATATGTACAATCGTTTGCCATTACACTATCTATAAGAGATTTAAATTGTGTTTTGCAGGGAAGGATGATTGAGATTTATGGGTGGGAAGCATCAGGCAAGACAACACTTGCTCTTCATATCATTAAAGAAGCTCAAAAGCTTGGAGGTGAATGCTACTTTTTTCCTTTCTTGCTTTGGAATCAGAATTAATTACATGTCATAATTAGACCATCATTGGTTCCTTGAAATGCAGAAATATCTCTTTATAATCCATGACCTTGAAAACCTAGATCAGCCGCTCCACATTGACGATAAAATCTTGAATGCTTTTGGAATTAACTATTGTTTGACACTATCGGATAACTCAGTTTAGTTGCTTAAGGTCTTGCACCAAATCTTGGTCACACACATTTCTGTGAACTTAAAGATTGTACAATGCCATTTGTATGATTAAGTAAGATTCATTTGTGGAGGTTAGAAGGGCTTGGTTCTACTCTCAGGGGTTATAACCTATAATTGTGGACTTTATTTTGCATTTGGAGTCTGTTTAGACCCATGGATCCTTTTTATGTGCTACTGCTTGCTTTTGGATATTTATACCCGATTCTGTAAATAATCATGTATAAATAGTCATTTTTCAGTGTGATTACTTTTATCATCTAGAGAAGTTGAAGAGTATGGTGAGTTGTCACATGCTACTTATAGGTAAATACAGTCAGTTTGCTAGTGTAGGTATCTTTTATTTCTATGCCTTAGTTGGTCTCGTACATTCACTCACACACACACGTATATATATGTAGGGCGAATTACACAGACACCTGCTCAGGTTAGGAAAAATCTCACACAGATAGACTTTTTGTTTTTAATTTTAACTCACATTTTGAAGAGTTGATCCATATTTCACTCACCCCGAACGTCACTTTTGAGTGGTATATATACGGCGAATTACACAGACACCCCCTCAGGTTAGGACAAATCTCACACGGATAGACTTTTTGTTTTTAACTTCCACTCACATTACGAAGAGTTGATCCATATTTCACTCACACCCCAAATGTCACTTTTCAGTGGTGTCAGAGTACTTTTTAAATGTAAAATGGCATTACTACCATTTGACTTTATGTTGACTTACAAAAAGGGTGTTTCACTTATTAAATGACACAACTACCCCAATAGGACCACTGTTTTTACTCAATGTTAAAGCCAGTAATTAAAACAATGGCATTATTACTCAATGTATGAAATTACCGAACTGCAGTAATTAAAACAATAAATAACAGAAGCTTATTTAGATACTAATTAGCAAAGAAAAAAATAAATTTATTTCTTCCCCTTTTCTTCACCTTCTCACTAATGGCGTCTTGGACCTGCATCAGTGTTAATGGCGAAATCAACATCGGACATCCAAGCAATTGATCCTCATTTTTATCGATTGCATCTTTCCTGTCCACATCCAATACGATATCTCTGCACCCAGTTTGAGTTTCTTCTAATTTCAGTGAAAATACTAATAGATTGAAACCCAAAATCAAAACCCATGAACTTTTTGGCTTCGCCATTGTATAGCTCTTGGGATGCGTTCCCCTTTTGTACGCTTTCTAATACACTTTCTTACCCAAAAAAAAAATAATATTGATATATATATTTTTTTTCTGAATGGTTGGAAATTTTATAAAGACAAAATATAAACTATATAATACAACGGATATCATGATCTCGAGAGGATCATAGAGGATAAGAGCAGGGGGACTCATCAAAACAAAAATTGCAAGCCTGCTAAAGAAATGCATAAAGAGACAGCGCATTCCAAACAAGCTCCCCTAGCTACCTCAGATGTGTGCATTGCAATACCCTCACGCAGAACTCAGTTCCTGTGATTCCATAAACTTCAAACAATAGAAGTAAAAAAGCATCTTGAGATTTTCCTTCGCATAGTGGACTGTTGGCAGTTGTGTAAAAAGCAGTCAGTGACATCTTCAAAGGTATGAAGGTCCATTATATCCCAGCTGCAAATGTCCAGAAACCATGACCACACCTGCCTCGCAAAAGCACAAGAACAGAAGAGGTGCTCATTTAAGTCCTCTCCATTGTAGCAGTTGTGACAAATGGATGTGAGTGTTGGCCCTTGTCTTTGAAGGTTGATGAAGGATTTATTAGCTTGCTGCAATGCCAGGGCTGAGAAAGTAGGCACCCCTGGTCTATTGCCATTCCAAACCAGTGAGAACCATGGCACCTCAGTATTATGTTGTCTGCATAAGTTCCAAGTCACTTTGAAGTTAAATTTTCCATCTTTCCTCCAAACTACTTCATCATCTACGGCTGGATTACTGTTACCAATTACCCACCATTCTGCCTTAGCACATTAACTGTATCCCCATATTGTAACCCTGCAAGTAGTCTCCTCAGACCATACCTCTGCTTAAGTGATGGACCATCAAACTATGGATCATGAAATAAACTGAAGGTAGCACCATTATTTAATTTATAGACCAGTTTTGGTTAGTGAATGCTAAACCTACTGATTCTGATATATGGAGAGATATCATCAGAGAAAAAATTAATAAAAAATTCCAAATAGAATCACTCACTACATTGAATCCTAATGCAAAATAACAGTATTAGTTCATTAAAGAATGAAGAAACTTAAAGAACACAAACCCATTTTGCACCCACCAGATCATAGAACAAGATTTGAAAGACGAAAAGATGATAGAAACCCTAGAACGGAGGTGGGGCACCCATACCCATACCCATGAAGGCCCTTCCGCATGAAGAGGTATCGCAGTCATGAATTGTGTCCTTCAACTTGTGAACCCATCTTTGAATACCCCAAATCCAATCAAAAAAATGATCACTACCACCACCAGTATCAAGCATTTGCAATGCAAATCTTACTCCCATTGCACATCTTTAATTCTTTCTCTATACAAATATATATATATATATATATATATATATATAATGGACTTCGTTTGTTAAATTTTCAGATCTAAATATTGTTTAGTGCATATATATAAATATACACAGATAGAGAGATTAGGGTTTGAGTGTGGCAGAGAAGGAGAGGAGTCTCTGTGGGGTTGGAATTTTATCTATAACCAAGTTTGTGAAAGAAAGCAGTTACTCTATAGTCTACGCTTTCTTAAACTCTCCTTGGCAACGGACAGTAATCACGGAGTGGGTATAATTCTGCTCTGCTTCATGTGATTGTGAGATGAGATGGTGATTAATTAATTCTAAATTATGCGGACGTGTCTCTCTATGGTGGGTCCCTCTTATCATCAATGCAAGGAATGAAAGGTTTTAATAAATGAGGGCATTTTTGTGATTTTAATTCTCTGATATTTTGTATTAAAATGCATTAAATAAATGGGGGTAAAAAAGTCAATTCACATGTGTCAGACACCAAAAAGTAATTTGGGGTGTGAGTGAAAGTTAGAAACAAAAAATCTATCCGTGTGAGATTTGACCTAACCTGAGGGGGTGTCAGTGTAATTTGCCCATATATATATATATAGTGTATGCCCTGCCAAAGTTGGGTGTTGTTGGGACTGTGAAAGGTAAAAGAATTGGGAAAATTCAACTCAATTGTAGCAATACCAATAGTGATTTTATATGTGTGTTGCGTAGAAGGCAAGCCTGATTCTAAGGCTAAATGTAAGCTATGCCTATAATTAAGCCTAAACATATGTAATAGAAGATATGCAAATATACAAGCTAATATTAACCTTATTTCTAAGGGAGCTGTCTAACATAGCTCGTAATTATGCCTAAACATATGTAACAAAAGATGTGCAAATATACAAACTAAAAATCAAGCCTAAATCTAAAGGGGTTGTCTAACAATCCCCCGCAAACTCGAAAGTCTAGGGAGGACGAGTTTGGAACGTTAAAGTTCAAAGTGATGCTTGCAAAGTCCCTTAGTGAAGATATCTGTAGTTTGGTCAGCAGATGGAACACATTGAACACAATGGCTACCAAAGAGAACAAGTTCCCGAATGAAGTGATAATCAAGCTCAATATGCTTGGTGTGAGCTAGGAAGACAAGATTGGATGGCATGTAAGTAGTGCTGAGGTTGTCACAGTAGAGCGTGACAGGTGTGGAGGGAGCACATGAAGCTCATGTAGAGGGTGTTGTATCTAAACGGTCTTTGCACAGACTTGAGCAAGTGAGCGGTACTCGGACTCAAAACTCGAACAAGAAACTGTAGACTGTTTCTTAGCACTCCAAGAAATGAGATCCGGGCCCAAGAAAACACAGTAGCTAGAAGTGGAACGCCGAGTATCAGGACAACCAACCCAATTAGCATCAGAGAAGGCATGAAGGACTAAAGCACGAGAGGAAGGCTGAAAGACCAATCCAAGATCCAAACTGCTTCTGAGATGGCACAGAATGCGTTTAACAACAGCAAGATGAGTGGTTCAAGGGACACTTATGAACTAAGCAATATGATGAACTGCAAAGGCAATTTTTGGACAGGTCAGAGTTAAGTACTGAAGAGATCCAACCAGGTGGCGATACTTAGTAGAGTCTGAAAGTGGACAATCTTTCTTGGCACTCAAGGGGGTACTGCATTGTTTGCACTCAGCCATAGAACTGCAATGTGAGAGATCAACAATGTATCGAGTTTGAGAAAGCTGTAGACCAGAGTACAAGGGGGACACCTCAAGGCCAAGAAAGCAATGAAGAGGACCGAGATCCTTTATCTCGAACTCTGTACCAAGAGTGGAGATAAAGGATAAGATCAATGATAGTGTGTGTTCGATGAGTACAATGTTGTCCACATACAACAATATTATCATCATCTGAGAAGAGCATTGAAAAACAAACATGGAATGGTTGGCTCGACTTTGTGTAAATCCATACTAGACGAGGAAGGAGCTAAATCACTGGTACCATGCATGAGGTGCCTGTTTCAGCCCATAGATGGCCTTTCTGAAGCTAACAAACATGGCAAGTGGGCTGAGTCACAAAAATTGTCTCCAGGGGAAAACCATGCAAGAAGGCATTCTGGTCATTTAATTGTCGTAAAGATCATCCAAAAGACACTTCCAAGCTGAAGATAGTATGAATAGAGTCTTATAAAAAAAAAAAAAGAATAGTATGAATAGTGGTAGGCTTAAACATGGGGTTGGAGGTTTCATCAGAATCGAGACCATACTGTT